TGAGCCCAGCATCCTGCAGCCCCACACAACAGGCAGCCTCCCTCCCTCCCACGTGGGGGCCTGCTCTGGATTGCAGCCTTAGCATGTTCTGCACATGACGTGCATAACTTTTCCTCTTCTCTGGGCATGTGCAGAATGCCTCAAAGCTCAGCTTTAGGCTTCCCTTGCCTGGCCCCCTTCATAAGTTAGATTTTCTTTTCATTGTTACGTTGCTTGTTTGTTTACCTAAGCATTGCCCACTTATTTACTGCTACCAAGATTACTTTGGTGAGTCAGCCTTATTTATGTTATATTACATTGTTCATGTTGTGTGACCTATTTAAGTGGGAGGTAAGGGAAGAGGAAGGGGACCCCTTGCATCGGGCCTGACCATGCCTCTCAAATTAATTAGTAAACATACATGGAACAAAGGAACACAGATCTCCTTTAGCACAAGCCCCTGCTTCTGTAAGAATGAGAAAAATAGGAGGTGAAGCCCATAATACCAGCAATCGCCTGGAGCCCTGTTGCTGCCATTTCCCTCCCACTCCTCCATTGTCTCTCTTGGGGCATTCAGGACAGGGAGGGACTCCTGTCCATCTTTCTCTGTTGGTGTCCTGTCCTTTCTTGAGAAGCTTGAAGAGGCATAGCTCTTGGCGTCTTTTTATGAAAAAGAGGCCCTCCTGGGTCTTCACCCAGGTTGTGACACTGAAGAAAGGGAGGAGGGGAGAAAAAAAGAAACAGGAGTTATAGTTTCCCCCTCTACTCCAGGAGTTCAATGAGTCTTGGATATGTCAGGTTCTAGATATTACATCCATTTAAACCAACACACCATATTTTTTCCATGTATAAGACACCCCTGACTTTTTTAACCCAAAATTTCTTCCCTTGCAAAAGTAGAGGGGGAAAGTAGCTTTTTGCAAAGAAAATGGAAGGGAAAAACACTTTCCTCACAAGAAAGTGGAGGGGAAAAGCAATTCCTTCTTCCCCCCCTCCACTTCCTTTGCAAAAAGCTGCTTTCCGCCTTGCAAAAAGTGGAGGGAGAAAGCAGCTTTTTGCAAAGAGTGGAGGGGAAAAGCAGGGACCAAAGCACTTTGATCCCTCCCCCCTCCTTACTTCTGTTTATAAAACGATCCTCAATTTTTCCTCTAATTATTTTAGGAAAAAGTGTCATTTTATACATGGAAAAATACGGTATGTACAGTGAGAACAGTGTGACCCAGATTGTGACACTGAAGAAAGGGAGGAGGGGGGAAAAAGAAAAGAAACAGGAGTTATAGCTTCCCCCTCTACTCCAGGAGTTCAACGAGTCTTGGACATGTCAGGTTCTAGATATTACAACCATTTAAACCAACACACCGTATTTTTTCCATGTATAAAACACCCCCGACTTTTCTAACCCAAAATTTCTTCCCTTGCAAAAAGTAGAGGGGAAAAGCAGCTTTTTGCAAAGAAAATGGAGGGGGAAAACACTT